CATCTCCCCAAAACGAAATTGGGAGATTAGCTTGCGCCATCATAGACCTAACCATGTCTAATAAAGTTCTATTCCTTCTTTCCGCAACACCATTTTGTTGCGGTGTATAAGGAACAGTAAGTTGTCTGCGTATCCCCTTATTTTCACATAGTTCTTTAAACTGTTCAGATAAGTACTCGCGTCCGCGGTCTGTGCGAGGAGCCTTTAAACTCTTCTCTGTCTGATTCTCAACCTCAGCTATAAAACGTTTGAAACAATCCAAGGCTTCATAGCGGTGAGCGATCAGATAGACATAACCATATCGCGTGTAATCATCAATAAATGTGAGAAAATAAGAGGCGCCATGACGTGCCTTCACACTCATAGGTCCACAAATGTCCGAGTGAACTAACTCTAGCGGTTGCGTAGCTCTCTTAGCCTTACCAAAAGGCTTTCTTATAGCTTTACCAGCCAGACAACATTCACATATAGGTAGGTCAACTTTAGCGAGTGAGCCTAAAAGACCTTCTCTAGCTAACCTTGTCATCCTGTCACGTCCTATATGTCCTAGTCTAGCATGCCAAGTTGCAGAATCAACATGTACATCAGCATAAGCTATATAAGAAGATGAGTAATCGGAATCATTCAAATCCAAATAAAAGAAGTTATTCCTTAAAAAACCATGACCAACAATTGTACCATCCAATAACACATCCAAACCAAAAGCAGAAAACTTAAAACAATATCCATCACGCAAACACTCTAAAACTGAAAATAGATTATGCTGAATTCCAGGAACGTAGAGCACATTATTGAGGAGCAATGTGCGCCCATTGCGCATCTGAAGTTGATATGAACCAACTCCCAAAGCTTCTATACGGCTTCCATCACCCATGAACACACCAGAGGTGCCCTTTGGAATTCGTCGATAATCCAAAAAACCTTCTCGATCTCGAGTCACATGTTTGGTTGCTCCCGTATCTACAATCCACCCAGAGGACGTATTAGCAACTAAAACATGTTCACATACATATATGTGGGAAGGTTTAGTCAAGAAAGATACCTTCTTCGGCTCAGTACAATCACGAGCGAAGTGACCCTTCTTATCACAGTTATAGCATTTGACTTTGGACAAGTCTTTCTTCCCACCACGCTTGCCCCGACGGCGCTTGGTTTTGTTGTCATCCTTTGGTGCAAGCTTGTTTGCCCCATCCTGCTTATCTGTCTTTCCTTTTCCTTTACGCTTAGACCCTTTAGTCTTAGACGTGCCACCCTGGGCGAAAAGGACAGTAGCATTGGTCGCCTCTTGGCGCTCCGATTCTAGCTCAACATGACGAGAAATGTCAGAAAAATTCTTGATATTCTCATTATGTGTCATGATTTGTTTCATGGTGCCCCATGAATCTGGCAGGGATCTGATGACTGCCTGCACTTGCTGCTCATCAGTGAGGGTATTTCCAGCAGCCTTTAAGTCACGTATCATGCTAGAAAGCACCCTTAAGTGCTCATGAATCGTGTGCTTAGGATTTTTGCGGTATACCTCAAACTTCAGGACCAAACTTCTAAGTCGAGTGGTGGACGTACCACCAAAATCAAACTTTAGTTGATCCCATAAAGCCTTGGCAGTAGGGTAGCTTTCATATCCCCCAATAAGATCATTGTGCATGCTGCTTAGCATAGTAAAGCGCGCACAACGATCCTTTTTGAACCAAGTCTGATAAGCTTCAAGATCACGGCGATGTTGGGCCGTTTGCCCAACCTCAGGTTCGACCATTGAATTGGTTAATGTTTCCAATAACTCCTGCTCATTCAAGAGATATTGAATTTTCCTATGCCAAATATCATAGTTGGTACCCTCAAGTTTGTCTCCCTTATTTAGGT